CTCCCCCCCTCCCCTAGTATACTTAACTGTTATCTTTACTCTCTAGCACCCCTTTGCCTCTAACCCCCCAACTCACCAGCTTACTGCCCTTTCATTCTTTCAAGTATCAACTCTGGCCCTTATCACCAAGCTCCAGGAAGCATCTTATAACCCTGATAAGTTAAAGACCTTAAGGCCCCAGACCCACTTGAACAAAGCCCTGGTCCTTCCCTAAATAATTTCTTTTCCCATCTATTGTGAGCTCACTCCCTCCTGAAGGGCCAAATTCTGTTAATGTGTAATTGATGAAAAAGAGAATGAAGAAACAAAACACTCATAAACATAAGATTTGGCTCAATTATATATTTGCCAGGCATTTTATTTTTTCTAAAAACAATAAAAAAAAAAAAATCAACTTTAAAAAGGAAAATGTATTTAAATAAAAAAAATTATGGTTTATAATACATTGGAATTTTGTATAACTGCTATAAACGTTTTATTAAAGTTATTTACATTTAATGGCTATATTTACACAGCAAAATTGGGTAAACTTTAAGATTTTTTTAAAAAAACAATTCTTAAATACAAATCTGTTAAAGAAAAAAAAAAAAAAAATGATGGCAAGCATAAAAAACGTTCTTTTATGCCCAAAGTCCTATTTGAGGCAGTTTACATTATGGCTAAACCTTTCAGTCTCAAGACCCAGCCACGGTTGTGCGGTTGCACTTGACCATGCATTTGAAAAGTTCATATGTCTAGTGAGTTCTGCAGTTGTGTCAGGAGGAACCTTTTCCCTTCCTTTCCCTTGGTAACAAGTGAGAAGTCACGAGCGATTCCAGTTCCTCCCTCCCATAGGTCAAGCTTTATGCACAAGAGTTCCGTAGCTGTTCAAGTTTGTGTTTCAACTGTTCTCGTCGTTTCCGCAACAAGTCCTTCTCTGAAATGAGCTTCTGCTCCTCTGCTTGGACGGCCAGGATGTACGCGGTGGCTTTTTTAAGGATAACTACCTTGGGGGCCTTTTCGTTGTTTTCCAACTCTGGGATCTGGTCGCGCAGGGCGAAGAAGCTGCGTTTCAGCTCATTCCTCCTCTGGCGTTCCAGGACGTTGTGTGTCCGCCTCTTGTCATTCTCCTCCGTGTCCGAGGACCTGGGGCTGGCACATTTGCGGTTGTTGCTGATCTGTTTCAGGACTCGGCCACTGTCCAACTTGGCCCTCTTGGCGGGGGGATAGTCCTTCCTGGTGGAGGGGGGTGCTGCGTAGTTGTGCTGATGGGTGGACACGTGGCACCTCTTGAGGACCAGTGGGCTGTGAGGAGGTTTGCTGTGACTTCCCGCAGAGGGTGACCCCGATTCTGACCTTTTGGCAGGGGTCTGCCTCTTTTCCACAGAAACGACATCGATTTCTTCTTCATCCTCTTGTTCTTCCTCTAAGAAAGGAAACAGAAATCACCTGGTTAGCGCCCATATTTCCTTCAAGTCATCAACGACGACATTAAATTAATGCCAGGTAAATATAAAGTATTATTATATGAGGAAGGACCCTGGCACAGAGTTATCCCCAGAGAACAAACTGGTCAGTCATCACTGCTCTTTCCTCCATGAAGGCAGAATGACAGCTGGGTTTATGGTGCAGGCAAGAAAATTACAATTTACTCAGGAACCAACATTGATGCCAATTCTTACCTAAGACTTAATGAAGCTTTGGACACACCCAAAGCAAAGCACATTCCCAAGCACCTCCTATTTTTGAGGGACTTTACCAAGAACCCATGTTGCAAAGGATAGCTGCAAATCTGTTGGTATGTCTTTAGCAACTCCCTATTTTACTGGAAGTGCAAAAAGAAAAAAAAAATCTTGAAGCTTTGCCAAAAGTACTAGGGAGTAGAGGAAGGAAGAAAGTCCAGTTTTGGAAAGGATTTGCTTTTAAGTGTTCAAAAGAGGCTGCAAAGATCCCAACTTCTGCCCATTCACTCTTAGGCACTTTCACTCGTTTGCAGCCCCAGGCGGGAGACTGCCCAGCCTCTGCCCACAGCCCCTCTTCATAGATCTGCAGTCCATTAAATTCCAACACTCCTCAGAAAGGAAGAGGGAGGCAATTCTTTCACTCGGAGATCAATCCTCCGTTAATCTCATTCACACTTCCCCCTTCCCCCCAGGGCAATTAAAATGCTTAAGAAAGGTAAGAGGGAGTGGATTGAGTTGCAAGATAAACCAGGAAGACTTAAAATCCAAAAGAAATTCCTAAGGGGCGGGAAGGAAACGCAGGGGCCAGCCACTAGGGCGGTCTTAGGGGAAGGGATGGAAGGGAACCGTGAAGTCCAGAGTCTCTGGGATGTTGGGGCTCCCAGATCCTTCCAGATCTGCCATTTCTTTCCCAAATACAAGAAAAGACGGTGCCAGCTGAAGTGGCCAGCTGAATGAGCGGCGCATGAAAATCTGAAAGACAGCCAGCAGTGCCTTTTGTCAGGCGCGCAGGGGTCCAACTTACCGGAGTCGCTGCTGGTGGTGGGTGGTGTGTCCTCGTGCAGCGCCAGGGGCTCGGGGCTGGCCCGCGGGGAGGAGGTGGCCGAGGACAGCACAGAGTCCGAGGACGGGGAGAAGGCGCTGGAGTCGGGGGAGGCGCAGGGCTTGGGCGAGCCGCCGTCGTTGAGCGGGTAGGGGAAGACCACGGAGGGGTCGATGCACTCGGAGGCGGCGGCGCTCAGGTCCTGCAGGTACAGGCTGGAGGTGGAGCAGGCGCCGTGCCCTCGGGCGGGGCTTCGGCCGCCGCCGTCTTTGCGCGCCGCCTGGTAGGAGGCCAGCTTCTCCGAGACCAGCTTGGCGGCTGCGGAGAAGCCGCTCCACATGCAGTCCTGGATGATGATGTTTTTGATGAAGGTCTCGTCGTCCGGGTCGCAGATGAAGCTCTGGTTCACCATGTCTCCTCCCAGCAGCTCGGTCACCATCTCCAACTGGTCTGCGGTGGAAAAGCTGCCGCCGCCGCCGTCGTCAACCTCCCTGGGTGAGAAGGACGCGAACGCGACATAGGAGGGCGAGCAGAGTCCCGAGCGGCGGCTGGGCGAGCGGGGCGGGGTGGGCAGCAGCTCGAATTTCTTCCAGATATCCTCGCTGGGCGCCGGCGGCTGCAGCTCGCTCTGCTGCTGCTGGTGGTAGAAGTTCTCCTCCTCGTCGCAGAAGAAATAGGGCTGCATGGAGTCGTAGTCGAGGTCATAGTTTCTGTTGGCGAAGCTGACGTTGAGGGGCATCGCGGCGGCCTGCGGAAGGGGGCACACAAAGGGGGGCAATCTTCAGTTACGGGGGAGTCTAGGTTGGTGCCTCGCCCCCGCGCGGCGCGAGCCACAATCACGCACCACTCCCCTTCCAGCGCTATCCCGAAAATGGGCCAGTGGCTGAAGGGGCAGGGGGGCAAAAAGGGCAACCTTTCACCCCCTCCGGGTGACCCCCTATCTCGGACACATATTTGGTGAGCCAGCTGTGGAGCGCCCGGGGGACTTTTGTCTGGAGCGCAAAGCCTGGGATTCGGCCCCGCAGCTGGAGAGCAGTCGAAATCGGCTTTGGCCTCGGGAAGAGGCCAGGAGAGGCGGCGGAGGGGAATGCAATCAATCTGCCAAACCCGAAAAGTTTTGCGCCACCTGAAGGAGAAGGCGAGAGGCGCTGCGCGGGAGCGGCTGCGCCCCTTCCCACTCGGGCCCTGGCCGCGCTCCTTCCCCGCCGGGCGCCTCCGCCCCTCCCAACCTCCCTCTCCTCCTCCATCCCCACCCCCAGCGCGCTCCCCTCCCTTCTTTGCCGGCTTTTCTTCTTTTCCCTCGCCGGCTGGTGAGGCTAGCTCAGCCGCGGGCTTTAACCCCCCCATAAATAAAAGGGGTGTGTTAGAGAATAACAGGGCACCTCCCTTCAACGTCCAATACGGCAACGCAACTGCGCCAGAGACCCTGCTGCGAATCTGCGCCGGGAACGCGGGCGCCCTTCCCTTCACCCGCCTAGCGTAGCAGCTGTTCTGAAAAAGCCCGGAGCGGCGCTCCTGGCGGTCCCTCCGCATCTCCGGGGCGCGGGGACACGGAGGCAGCGGGGGAGCCAAGGCTGTGTGCGGAGATTTGCTCTCGTTTTCTAAGTCCATGAATCCAGGAGAATCGGACACATCCCTGGCCCCAGCCTTCCTTCCCTCTCCGCCTCCTGCGCCTCCCCAACACCAAGCCCTAACACCTCGGTACACCAAGATATTTAATTTTATTCTCTTCAGAAGCCAAATGCCAACTTATGAAAAGGAGCGGGGGACGAATTGGGAACGCCAGGGGAATCCGAGGGCCGGACGCGCCGCAGTGTCTCTGGCTGTCAGAAATGCGGGCAAAAAAAAAAAAAAGCTGAAATTTAAATGCCCTTTTGGAGACGAGGAAAAGTCAGAGGCTGCGGAGCTCTCTCGATCACAGAGAAGGCTATGTAATCCTTACTCCAAGGAGCTCAAGCTGCAAAAGGCTTTCTGCTCACCACGAAGCATAGGTTCTCCCCCCAGCCTCCCCCCAAACCAAAGCAATTAATGCAATAAAGCAGGAATGCCCAGCCCGCCAGGCTTTGCGTCAATATCCGTCGGCAAAAATCTCCAAAGGCTTGTTTTAAAAAAACGCACCCCCGTCTTCCCTCTGCTTTCCATCCTCCCATCTTGACAAGTCCCTCTACCCCATCCAGTTCTGCTTCAGTCCCCACCCCACCCGACCTACCACAACTACTCGGAGAAGTGTCAATAGTACCGGATTGGGAGAGAAGACACCCCGACTCGGGTATTCGACTCATCCCGTCAATAAAGCGGTAGAAAAAAATTAATTAAAAGACAAATAGATCCGAGGGCTTACCGGGTTTCCCACTACCCGAAGGAATTCCAGCTTCTAAAAAGGGGCTAGGAGCGCCTTTCAGGCAGCGGCAGGGAGAAGTGTCTCCCCAAATAGGCAGAAGATCCTCCCCGCGTCTGGAGAGTCGCGTTCTCGCTCGGGTGTTGTAAGTTCCAGGGGAAAGTGCCGGCCCTCTGCAATGGGCAAAGTTTCGTGGATGCGGCGAGGGTTGCGGGTCTCCGGCTGGGGTCAGCGGGAAGGGTGGGGAGGCGGCGGCTGTGCCGGAGGCAAAGCCTCTTCTCGCGCCGTGTCGCCCTGCCCTGGGCGCCCAGAGTGCGACTCTGCTCGCCCGGCTCGCTTAGCTCACTCCGGCGGGTCCGCCCGCTCGCTCCCTCTGTCTCTCGCTGGAATTACTACAGCGAGTCCGATAAGCCGGCTTTTATATTGGTTAAGGTTCGATCCCTCCCCTGTCCTTTCCCGCCAAGCGAGGGAATAGCCCAGCCCTTCCAGAGGCAGGGGGGGGAGAAGGCGGCGGCTGGGACGCGTGAAACGCTGTGGTCGCCGCAGCCGCGAGGAGCGCAGCCGGGGGGTCCTGGGCCCCGCAGACCCTTGCCTATAAAGGGCCGGTGGGCGGGGATTCGCGGGAGAGGATCTTTTTTCTCCCCCCCCCTCCTTCCCCCCTGCTTTGGGAATCCGGGAGGGGCGATGGGGCGGGGGAGGAGACTCAGCCTTTGAGCCGGGCTCTCCGGTGCGCCGAGCGACCCGATGTAAATAGACTGAGAGCGTAGCGCATTGACTGAGCGCGCCTACCATTTTCTGTCGCTGGCGCGGAGACCCGGCCCCCGTCCCCCGCGCGCTCTGTGCCACAGACCGCTTGCTCGGCCTGCGAGCTGAGGTCGCAGGCGGAAGAGCCGAGCTCTCCGCACAGAACACACCGCGCCCCCACGGCCGCGACAGGCACGGCCGGGGTGGCCGGGCGCTTCCCTACGGCTGGAGAAAGGGCAGCGTTTGGAATAAGCCCCATGAAGAGAGGAGGGAAGAAAGGGTATTTCTGGGCGCGCGCCGGGTGTGTAGCTGGGGATAAGTGATGAGAGGTAGAGGGAAGAAAACGATGCCCGGAATTATTGAAATAGCTCCGCAGCGCATTGCCACGTATACTTGGAGAGCGCGCTGTGAATCAACACCCATTGCGTTCTTTGGGGGCGTTATGCTTTGTGCGTGTATAGCTGTCTCTGTTGGATACCTCCCACCAGAGTGAATCCCCTGTGTCCCCCAAGGCGTCCCCGTGCCTCTCGGAGTTCCAGGTCCGAAGCCAGGTTTCAGAAAAATTCTATTTGCGCCCGCGGCTCAGGTTTGCGCCAGTGCGGGGCTGCCAGGTTTGGGAGAAAGCAAAAGCTGCAGAAGGGACAATATTGGGGAGGGGTAGCGGAGCCGCGGGACCGGAATCCCCAGAAGGGGGCCAGAGGCGAGCTCGGGGACCTTGCTGGGGGTATCGGAAGCGTCCGTGAAGGAAACCGTTAACTCTTTCCTCCTTGGGCAAACCGGACGTTGAACTTCCTTCCCGGGTCTTCTTTTCCCTTTATTATTGGAATCACCACCAAGCACAGAATAATGCATTGGTTCTGATCAAAGGAGAGGAGCCAAGGATTACTTCCGGGCCTTTTTTGGGGGTGTGTGTGTGAGCCAATTAAAAATTGGCCGAATTTCAGTCAATAATTTCCTAGTTCAGTGACCCTGAATTTTTGTTCTGAATGCCGTAGTGAAAGTTGGTGTGCCTAACCCGCGTACATCTATATACATCTCACGTACACGTCGACCCAGAATGTTGCCCAACACGACCAATGAGTTGGTCTCTGCCTGAATGAATCTATATTTAATATTTAATGCATATTCGCTCAGAATTTGCCATTTTGCACTATGCTAGGGCATTAAAAACAAAGGCTATGGTCTTCCCGTCCCCGGTCCTTCACCCCAAGGCATATTATTAAGTAAACTTCTCCACCTCTCGCCCCGTCTCCGATTCCAAAACAGAAAAAACGCGGAGCCCCCTCCGTCTGTAGCGCGCTCGTGTTCCAGGTAAATGATGAGCCGTTGAGTTTGCAGCTCGGCGTCCGATTGTTAAATGAGTAGTAACTTCCTCCAAATCGGGCGCCCAGCACCATTCAGCTTCAAGGGCTGCAAATTGCTCCA